CCCTCGGCTATGAGCTCCTAACCCTAACCCTCATCTATGAGCTCCTAACCCTCGGCTATGAGCTCCTAACCCTCGGCTATGAGCTCCTAACCCTCGGCTATGAGCTCCTCCTTTGTTGGTTTTATTCCAGCCATCCACCTTGAGGCTAACTTTATGTCTGCTAACAGTATTAAACTCAGCAGGCTGTCATGGTAATGGGGGTTTATTCTGCAGGTTTACAGTAAAGACGATTTATTAGTTTCATTCTTTAGCTCCTTTATTTACCTATTTTTTAATCAGTTTGCTTTGCTGACTGTTTATGATAGGATCTTGTTTGGTGCCTGAAGAATCATTTTGCCTTGTTTATTTTCCTTTGCTTTCAGATGAGCTCCCCGTATTCAGAGTGAAGTTGGATGACCATATTGATCAACAGTGTTTCCACCATTATGCCATCTCTTCATATATAAATGTTAATTTTTCCTTTAAGAAAGAACCAGAACATCTTTAATAAATGTATTTAATGTTTTTTTTTCCCTTCTTATTTTGGGCTCCAAGCTCACCTTCAGATCGATGATTGTCTGTAAAAAAGTATTTTTAAATAAATTCAGAAAAGTAAACTAGTTTGCTGTCTTGAACATGTGGGTTATCTCACACCTTCGCCCCCTGCTGGCCACAAAGAACTACTGCCCAGTTTGGAGCTTTTACTTTGGTAACAGCTGGAGAGGAAGTCAGAAGTGAGTCACTCCCATTCTGCCTAAAAATCTCTCATGGGCTGTGTTCGAATTCATGGACTGGATCCTCCAAGGACCCGGTCTACCTGGACTGGATCCTCCAAGGACCCGGTCTACTTGGACTGGATCCTTCCAAGGACCCGGTCTACCTAGACTGGATCCTTCCAAGTCCGTGAAAATAAGGAGACCTGAAGAGTTTTGGCTGTGAGTTCATACAGGTCTACCCTTCGGCGGGTTTTACCGCCGTATGCTCTGTTGCTTAGCAACCATGACAGTTGACACACAAAGCAGGAAAAGAATAAATACTGAAGTTTTCAAAACTGTTTGTTTATTTATTTCTTTTTTATTGAGTGGAATAAAGGTTCCAACCAGCGGGAGCAGGAACAAATCAAATCAAATGTAATGA